CAGCCGACGGGGGCCCCCCCCCCCCCCCCCCCCTTACGCTGTCACCAGATGCGTCAGCGGCAACGAGAGGTTTTCTTGCCATGAAGACCAAGAAACGACTAGGCCTTAATTAACTATGAAGCCACGAGAGGCGCTTTCCGCGCTCTGCAAGGGAGAAGTCTCTGATTGGACGAAAAATACGGAAAGGGGTTCAAGTAAAGTTCATGGTCAGCAAATGTATTTAAGGGGCGCATGTTTCAATATTCATCACTCTCGATATAGTTCTTATTCAAATATGTCAAGTGAAAGTCCATTAACGCTGTCAAGGGAACAGTAGTTATAAGTCCTGGACGAACGATGACATACTTACATATATACTTATATTACGTCCACTAACGTAGTTCAAGAAACCGTCGTTATATGTTCAAAAGGAGCGACGACTTCCACTTATCGGATTGTCCATTAACACTGTTCATGGCAACAGTAATTACACGTTCCAGCAGTAAGACGACATATTCCCGTATGTCCATTAACGCAGTTCAAGAAACATTCGTTACAAGTTCAAAGGGGGCGACGACAATCCGCATATCAGAGTCCGGAGACGAGTCAACAATTAGTCTTCGTAAGTAATATCACCACTACAGTAATTAAATAAAACTTAAGATTCAGAATACGTCTCCAACAATCCACGACGAAGAAGAGGCTCTCACCAGAGAGACAGTGCGGAATAATTCCAAGCTCGTCGTCATGCTCGCATCATCTGATGCGGGACTTGTCGGCCTTTATCCACATTTTAGTGAAAAGTCTGACTCTTATGAATCCACAGCGTGCTATTCAGCGCTCACAGAAGACACAACAAGTAGCAGGTTGTGTCTTGTGTCTTGTATCTCTATCCAACACTTCATGAGGTACAAGCTCTTCAAACTCTTACTTACATCTGAATTTATTACAGTACACCAATATCAGGACAAGGTATGCTTGCTACGATACGACTATTTTTCTCTCATAACAACAGTTACATATGTCGCGCTACATACCAACCATAACCTCAATTACGTTCGTGCTCATCCAAACAGTGCGAGTGTCCACGAATCAAGCTTCGCGCCATTCGGCGCTCAAATTCAACCATCACGCTGCATAGATGAGTGTGTACATTAATCCACCACGAGAATTATTTCCATAATTAATAATAGTAATACTAGTTAACCTTGTCATCAATAAATAACAGAATAAACAGCATATACATCAGCCATATTTATTTTGAATTATTATAATATCCCTTCCACTTGTGATCTTTCATCGCTACCACACAACACCCGTGGTCTCTGAGTTGTCAACGGCATCAATTTGTATCCTTCGAACCGGCCTTGGTAAAATAATCCGGAACGGCGAATATATTTTGTACACATTTACTTATCTTAGATGTGTTTAACTCACCATTGCTCAGCTATTGTCATCGTGTTTGCATAAATATCCAAATTTTTGGTACATGAATAGTGACTGCACTTAGGCATTTCCAGTCATGACATTTGTACAAAATGTGTCCGATGATCCGACTCGTTTTGCCAAGACCAAGAAGAAGATATAAAGGTTCGAAGGACCAAAATTGTTTATGTAAACAACTCAAACACCAGGAGATGTTATGTACTAGTGATGTGCAGGCAAGTGGAATGGATAGTGTAATTAATTCTGTGTTGCAATAATGATGGGATAGCCGGAGCCACCAGGCAGTATTAGCGACCTCTTCGCTAGAATCAAGTTGTAGAGGACTGATCGATAATGTCAGCAATTTGTCGTAATAATAATAAATGATAAATAGATTGCTGTTGATGCCAGATTATACCGACGCCCTCAATGCGGTCTGACAAGAGTCAATTGCGGAAGGTACACTGCTAGCTGGTCAGCAAATAATAATATAAACAAAATGAGTATACCTTGCACGGATTACCGTAGACAGACGTATAGAACTTTCCAATGTATGACTTGCACTACTTCACTTTGACTCACTCAACAAAACTAATTTGTTTCGACGTACGCTGCTCTATATATATGATTGCGTAGTTTCAGAGTCTGCAATTCTAGGAAATTCTGTCAAATTCTCAGAGTGAGCTTCAGTCGGTATGAGAATCTTCCTCAGATGCAATGCGGATAAATTGTAAGGCTTTCTTAGGCAAAGGCTTTAACGTTTATCGAGAATTTTCGTAGCGAATTGTAATGCATTTAAATTTCATGGAATAAATTTTGATTGATGGGTGCGTCAATCTTGAATACCTACTCTTATGAAAAATAAACTTGACTTTTCAGAAATTGCAACAGCATGAAAATTACCAGACACTTACAGTAGTTAAAATGTAGACGTTAACATTGAAATATATTCTACACGTTTAAAACCAAATACTGACAATAATAAATTGCTCAAGGTTGAATTTCAATAATTTATAATTATTTATTTTTTGTTTTATATTTAGTTTATATAACTGAAATCAAAACTTATATTTTAATATATTTATCATTTTACAAGTTATAAATTGTAATTTATTATACAAGAAAATGTTAACATTTAAATTTTATATGTTAAGACTAGAATATATTTATAATTTATTATAAAGATCACTTTAAAAAATGAAAAGCACTTTCTTGATAATTTTGTATTAATTTGCATTAATAATTCTCGATCTAGTAATAAGAATAAATAAATGCACCTAGTATTAAATTAATTATACACAAATTAGATTATAATAAGTAATATAATACGTTTATAATTTATATTTATATTTTTTTATTTAATTTAAATAATTAATTATTAGCAGTATTATGTTAATGGCAACTATACTTCTACTTTCTATAAAAAATTAAAGATACTAAATTTAACAAATTATAATAAATAACCGTACCAGTTGGAGTTACTGCTGTATCAAACCTTGTTTTTTTAATATTAAAATCATAAATCTACTAGATTTTATCGACAAAACTTATAATTGATTGATTAAAGTTTTGTCGACTTTTGTGAAAATAAAATAATTGTACATGTATATAATTACATAATTATATTCGGATAATACAATCTATATTTCATACTTCTAGAAAATCTTTTAACAATGTTATTCTTCTTTTTTCGGCAATGTCCATTTGGTTTTCCAAATCTCCACGATCTGTTGTTTCTGCGCGTTCAATTTTCCAGGAAAGGTTTTCTATTTCTGCCTCTAATTGAGCCTGCTGGTATTCAAACTATAAAATTTTACAAAATTAAATAAATAATTTATATTAAACCACAATTTATATATAGTTATATTTTCTGACCAATTCCTTTCTAGGTCCTGCTTCCATATAATATGCATAAGGATAAGTATATTGTAATGTATAACGGCATCTAGCTAACAGTGAAGCTGCCTCGAAAAGATGTTGCCAGTCTATCCAGGTTCCACTAGCATTCATAACTTTCTTTTGGATCCGTAATTTTATTTCTTCCAAAGTCTGTTCTTCTAATTTTAATGATTTACTGTGATTTTCCCACTAAAAATTATTTTTTTTAAATGAAATTAATTAACATGATATATTTAAAAAATATATAAAAATATATTAGAAGTAAATGAGAAATATAATTTAACAGAAATACTATTGTTTAATTATTTTAAGCAAGTTAATTGTTTTGAATTAGACTAAAACCACCAGTTATAAAGATGGGAGAAAAAGTACGGGTAAGTGGAAGGGTAGCGCTTTAATTCAATATTTAACACATTTGCTTTTCTTGCTGTTAATTGCGTTGTTTCTTTACAAGCTATACTATAAAGATTCTAAGTTGGTGTTGAGAATGGTAGTGATCTTGCAGTTCCGTGGTGGTTGCCCCCTGGTGCTAGCATGCACTATATGTAGAGTTAAGAGGTCGTAATGCTCTTGACGCAATGCTCTTGTTAGTAAATTATTACACTTAGGAGTAACAGATCGTAAATCTTTTGCCACTGCTTCGTGTAATGCCATGTGGTAGTAACTTGATTATGGTCTCCTTCTTGAGGAAGTGGCAAATATGTTCGATTTTAAGGGTTTAGTTTATGGCTCGAACTGCCAATTCAATAGTTCAGTGGATTGGTCACTCGTGAGGATAGCTTAAAGGAAAATACTAAAAGGGTTGAAAATTATTATGTATTTTATTAAAACAATGTTTATTATTTGTTGGTAATTATAATAATAATATTGCACTATGGTTGAGAGAAGATTATTCTATTGTAGTAATGAGTATGTGTCCTTGTATTGTTGATTGTTGTAGATTTTATGGATATGACTGTGTATCTTGAAATTTATGTTATCTTGATGAAAACATTATCTATGTAGTCAATCATGGTCATGCGCGGAAAGCTTCCGTAGTTGGACTACCGGGAGTCCGTTTTCAGAGTAAGTCGTGAGGTGAAAAATCAGCTCTAACGGTCAGGACTTACTTGCAGTTGTAGTGTGATGCTCTCAGTTCCTACTCACAGGCTTGATGAGAAGTTCCTTTCCAATAATTGCAGCTCTTAACTTCTTTCTTGTCTCCTTGCTGAGATGACAAGAATTTAAGTACATATACTATCAGAGTTTGATTAGACCAACGGTAACTGTATATAAAATCATAGTCGTAGAAAGACAGTTCACAAGACTCAGCTGACCGACTTGTCTCTGGTCCTCCACTTACTCGTGACTTACCTGTTCAATAAGAATAAGTGGTGGTACATTACATTGTCCTTCTTAAATAGTTCACTGACCCGGTTCAACTTGGGACCCCTTCTTCTTTCCGGCACCCAATCAGAGGTTGACCTTGGGCAGCACGATAGATCATGCACGCCTTCATTTCCATTTCCTTCCGGGCTCAGTCCCGAATATGCAAATCGTGAAAGTATCGGAAAGTGGGGAGCCTTTACTATTGATCGCCTCTCCCTTTTCTGGGACTTGGCTAGACGAAGGGTCCTCTTGAGCGTAGTTGATCTTCCAATGGAATCGACTAGATTCGGCGTAGTTAAGAACAAGGCAAGCATTGTCTTAAGAAGCCGAGTACACACGTACGCCTATTGCTTGTTGTCGCACGTGCGAAATTTTGGATTGCAGTGAAATTTAGATAATGTTTGTTCTTGATAGTTTTCGTAAATCTGATACTCTTTCAGAATCTACGTCATGGTGGCAGTACTTTAACTGCACCGGAAAAGCATGAGCACGTTTTTAGATAGGTAAGTGTTCGGGATTGAAGCAGTCCCATGAATTTCAAACAAAAGAAAGGTCATATACGCAGTCCGGCGTACCGCATGTGCGCCTAGACTGACCGCGCGTGAAGCAAGGCTGACCACCACGTGCGCCTAGGCTGATCCGCACGTGCGGACCGAGGCGGGTACTCGAGAAAAATGTTTACAAACAAAACCCGGCAAGTCCGAGCAAGTTTACGATTTGAAGTATTATTTACTGCCAGCACTCACAAAAAAGGGACGCCTTCGAAACTTCTAGAAGCTTCGTTTTCTCACGCCAAAGGAAAATTTCTGGAAGGGACGCGCATCGACACTGTTGCCGACGCTGTGGACGCCGCATGCACATTTAAACGCAACGCGCCATGAGGCGATGCTCATTCGTAAAATCACTTCGCTCTCCATCAAGCGTAACTGCCGGTCAGTGCAAGTATACTGTAAAGACGCCGCGTGGCCACATTTGCAGTTCACCAGGTACATCTTTATATTAATAAATAAACAAGTCACATCTCTCGCTATTGTCGATCGGGCACACTTACGCTCTCTCGAACTGATCCCTCGACATCGTACAGGCCCGCTAGCAGAACCAGGGCACACTTACGCTCTCTCGAGCTGATCCCTCGACATCGTACAGGCCCGCTAGCAGAACCAGGGCACACTTACGCTCTCTCGAGCTGATCCCTCGACATCGTACAGGCCCGCTAGCAGAACCAGGGCACACTTACGCTCTCTCGAGCTGATCCCTCGACATCGTACAGGCCCGCTAGCAGAACCAGGGCACACTTACGCTCTCTCGAGCTGATCCCTCGACATCGTACAGGCCCGCTAGCACATAACAAGGAACACTAGCACTCTTCCGAAGAACACTTCGGAACCGTGCAGGCCCTGAACAGCTGACTCAAGAGTCACTGTGGATCACACACATTGGTTACACAAGACCAACACAGATCGACTAATAGACTCTACAAATACAGATTATTAAATCCTTCACGAATTAGAAATATTACCTCTAATTGTTTTACCTGTAACTAGATTCTACTGCTGTCCCTTTTACATAATCAAAGACATAATCGATTACATAATAAATTCCATTTAAGATCTAACACCACATCAAGTATAGCTATTCATCAATCAAGCATACTTGATTCAACTACCATCTTCTCATGCTGCCTCTTTTCTACACAAAAAAGGGAAGGGATCCCAATTGAAAACCATGGTCAGTGAATGTATTTAAGAGAGACAATTACAAAATTCAAACACTCTCGGTAAAATCCTTATTCAAATAGGAAGTGGCAAGTCCCGCAATAACGTCCGAAGACAATCTTTCGTTGAAGTCTTCAAGGAAAAGAGACGCAAGAAATTGCCTTATCGAAGTCCGAAGACAAATACCAGTTGAAGTCCTCATTGAAGAAGAAAGCGATAAAGTCCCTTGATTGAGTCGAAGATTAGTATTCGTTTGTAGTATCATCTACTTTAGGCGTCATAGCCATCATCGAAGATTCGGAGTCTACGAAGTCAGGTCATCGAGCATACATAAAGGATTGAGGCCAACTTGCAGATACACGTATAATTATCTTAATTAATCCTACTGTTTGTACTGAAGGAGAAGCACGTGACCCATACGCACGTAGCACGTGTCAACAAGTCTTCGCGTTATTTACGCCCAGTTTGCCGACCTAACCTCTTTCCTAGCTTAAGTCCTATGCTCATGAAGTCCATGTTCGCGCCATTCAATGCTCATAGCAGACACAACTCGGGGCTTTCTCGATGAAGAGCTTTACAACCTCATACTTTCCAAAAAATAGCAACAGTGGACTACGCCAAGAGAAGCAAAATATTACATCCAATTACCTCTGGGTACAGTTAGCTTGTTACGGTCAGAAGTGTGATCTGCACAATTCCAAGAGTTCATCAATTGATAATAGTAACAAGAATCATCCTTGTATCTGGAAATTAACGGAATAAACAATATAACAAACAGATGTATTGATATTGAATTAATTATACTATCCCTTCCACTTGCTCGCACATCGCTACCACATGACATCTCGTGGTCTCTGAGTTGTCTGCATAAACAATTTTTGTCCTTCGAACCGGTCTTCGTCGAAACAAGCCGGATCATGGGATACATTTTGTACAATAATAATGTATTGAATTTCACTGTATTTTAATGAACATACTACAAGTTTTTTATATTGAAGTGTATCTTCTGAGATTAACTATTACGTAATAAAATTTTTAATTTAAAAAAATATCTATTCCCTTATTTATTATCGAAGTTTGAATTGTCTATAAATCACTTAGTCATATGTAATCAGATCGAACCAACATAATTATCTTATATCATTTTTTAATAAACACAACCTTCATAATGATTTTTGAGATCCATGACATCAAGTCAACGCACTACACTGCCTATATCAGCATATCGAATGATTGATATTTAATTAACCTCTTAAAAATTACGTTTTAATCTAATAGGGGACTTTAACTACAAAACCTTTTAGAAAAAGAAAACCGTAATATACTTGTTACAAAATTCAAGCACTTTAAGTTGATATTATGACATTAACTAAACTAAGTGTATTGAAAACATTAAAACCCGATACATGTTCATACATATAGGAAAAAAATTTTGGAAAAGAAACTGACATAAACTGACATTGTTAGTTTATTAAACGCAATTAATTTTTTAAATTAAAATATAATAAAAAAATATTAATATTCATTGCCATTGTATTATAATCTTACATAATGCTACAAGATATATTTAAAAAATGAAATATTTGAATTCATTCGTAAGCTATAAGAATATATTATTATATTATACATATATTACAATTATTTATCTATTTATGAATACTTGATTAAAAATATTGCATTAATACTTAAAATAGAGCAGAGATAAAAAATGGTTTCTGATTAAATAACTTAATAAGTGAAATATAAATCATCATACATAAATTTGGATTCTTTTTATTTATATTACTTTCATAGATTAAACATTCTTTTAAATCAACAATATATACATTAAATTATAATATAATATTTTCGTTTGAATTAATATTTGTATTAATATTATATACATTATAATAGTGTAATATATTTTATTATTGTACGTAAACGCAATGTAGTATCATTTGTGATAGGGTAAATGTTTGAAATAATTGAATACATAATCCTTCAATATATGTGTTCGGGATTGAAGCAATTTCCAAGAATTTAAAAATGGGAAAAGTACAAGCCCTCTGATGCTTATGTTTGTAAACATTGATCTTGCAAATTCTCGAATATTCTACGCCTTATTTTCTAGTGTTGTACAATATTTACGCATAGCAACGTCGATTGAAAATTCTTGAACGTTCCAATGCTATGTCTTACTGGACTTGTCGAATATTCTAAAGCTTAGTCTCTGATGTCACCAAACTTTCGGCCTAGCATTATTGCCAGCGTTGTAAGCTGCCACGCGCATATTTAACAGCAACTCGCCACGCTCCTGTGCTCACTGTAATTTTCTCAATCAATCCGTTGTCAGGTTTTACTCACACAGCCACTAAACTCCGCATTATACCAGTCAGTTTGCTTAATATAGGCACATACTTCGGCTAGACTCTGCAATAATAAGAAGTAGAAGACAATATGATTTATAACTATTTAAGTACACCAAACTTAAGCAGTCAAGAGTGCTGATTGCATTTCAATAGTGAATATTAAATAAGAAGCGCGTCATCTACGCACTTGTTACACAATTAGGTGAGACATTAATTTTCTGTGAACTTATTTGACAAAAAACCACTTGAAGACGCAAGTGCGTCAGCCGAGTTAAGCACTATTATAATACTCCGGATTAAGACGCTGCACTTTCTGTAATAGACATCGCTGTATTCGGAGCTGTTCGCTGGATTCAAGCACTAAGACGTCAATGTAATCAGAATTAAGGAGACAATGCCCGCTGCATCTCGATAAGTGGCACAGCGCGTACTACCAAATACACTGAGGTATTGCATTATTATATTTTGTCATCAATAGAAAACTTATACCTAAAGGCCATACGTGACACTATACAAGAAGTGTCAAGGATTTACTCTCTTACACTACTCAGTATAGTAATTTCCATCAAGCGTACTTTAAATGAGGTTTTGGTTTATAAAATTACTATCAAATACCGAGGATATTTACCATTTGAAATAGTATTTAGATTCTCAGATATATTTGACGAAAGAAAACTTTTATTAGTATATTAAAAACTTCTAACACATAAATCATTAAATACAATCCTGTCTTTGTTTCTTTTTCTTGGCGCAATAGTTTTCTGATGGTTCTATATTTCAAAACATTACTTGTCTCCGTCCCCTTTCAATTAGGCTTTATTTAGTAAGTTTGCTCTACAGAGCACCGCCATTGTGCAAGAATACATTTATAAATATAAGAAAATAATAGAAGACTGTTCGAGATACAGAAAAGCTCTCGAATGTTATCATTTGGGGAAAAATTCCAACAGCTATCAATTAAAAGAAAAACTTCAAAGGTTATAATTTAAAAAAAATTATTCAACGATCATAGCTTCTAAGACCCTTCCCCGACGGTCGTTGAAGATTCGGAAAAGTCGGTATATCCGAAATGAGTACACAATCACCCCTATTGTTTCACATACCACAATCGAACCCATTATTCTAGCGCTATGATCGGCCATTTGTCTTCAGCTAACAAAGCAGCCGCATAGATATTTAAGGCAAGCACAACATGAGATAAGCTCTACTCAGACATGAGCCAGTCAGCCAAGAATCATTCAGTCAAGCTGAGTCAAGAAAGCAGTCGCAAGCCTTTCCAGTGCTAGTGCAGCCATATATACACACTCTCATCAGAACCGCTAAGGAAGGTACACTCAACGGCTTCATACTGTTGCAAGACTCTCTCATACCAATACGCTACGGAAGGTCCTTCTTATAATAAGCTCAGCTATCGCACACTAAGCAGAGACGCTACAGAAGGCCCACCTCATTCTTCCACACTACAAGACAGCTTGGAGGAGACCAAAAGTCAAGTTACCACCACGTGGCATTACACGAAGAAGTGTCAAGAGACTTACGACCTCTCACTCTCAGTGTAGTATTTCACTACCAAGCGTACTGAATCAAGAGGTTCCAGAGACCTACGATCTTCTATCTCTACACGCAGTGTAGAGTCATTATACGTAGTTGTAAAATAAACAAAACACCAAGAACGGAAAGCAGACGTGTCAAATACTGATTTCAATCGCTACCCCACCACTTGCCCACACTTTTTCCGCCACCATTTCAACCGGTGGTACTAGGCTAATACTAAACAAAGACTAAGTGCATATTTGCGCGCACGGACGTATGTACACTATAGTATACATTATTAGAGTTAATCATTTTTAAATAAATTTGCAAAGAAATTTTAGAAATATTTTTATTAATAAATCAAACTTTTTTAATGGCCTAATTTTATATAAATAATAAAAAATAAAAAAAACTAAATAAATCGAATTATTTTCATTTTTATATTAATTATATTTAATTGAAAAAAGCTACGTACTATTTCTTAAAAAAACATATTCATAGATAATAATCTATAAGTACCTAAATCTTTTATTTAAACTGGTTACTAAAAGCATTTTAAAACTTAAAAGATATTTTTATTGAAAATATTGAAAACATTGAAAACTAATTTCAGTAATGTAATATATCCTACGTACTTGAGTAATACAATTAGATAGAAATATGATAAGTCAGGTTTATAATTTAAATATTACATAAAATTTTCTCGATGGTTATAAATAAAAGTAGCAAAGTAGTAAAATTATAAAGGCAAAACAAATTAATCCATTGTATGTTCTTAAAGGCAATTTAAAAAATACTGTATAATTTTGCAACGCAGTATTAAAAATTACTACTAAATATAATTTATAATTTTATTTTCATATATGCACATAATGGTATCAGCCATTTAATACAAAAGTAATGAAAACATATTTATTTAATTGAATATTTCGAATAATTTATGTTAAGTTTCTGTTTTATGAATCACCAAAATTTAAATATATAATCGGCAAAGCTATTAATTTTAATAGAATTCAGATATAAATTATTTAAGTTCTTACCCTTTCATAATAGTGTAAATATTTTTTTAATGCTTCTCGAGCTTGAGCATGAACACTTTCATGAGCGATATTCGGATTTTCTTTGTAACGTGAACACTCATAATATTCACTTCCATGCGTCTTCCAATCTCCAAGACACATCCAACAAAAGTCATGTTTGCAATTATAACATTGCATGTGATTACATCCACCATTTTTTTCTATGCATATATGACACTTTGGACACTATGACGAATAATAAGAAAGTTTAAAAAATGTTTGAAACGAATTTAATTAATTGTTAAATAATTTTCTTACATCTTTAGTATGAGCACTAATATAATTAGCTGTTTCTGAATCATCGGCACATTTCGTTAACCATTTCTTAATTGTATCGCAGTCTGTAGGAGCGTGATAATCCATGCCACAGCGAAAACAAAATACTGTTTTACATATACTACAAATTACACGTTTCGAGCGTAGTTCTTTAGATCTTATTACAATTTGACAGTTAGGTCCCGGACAAAATCGAAGTTGAGGATGAGATTTTACATAATCACGAAAAACAAATTGTTGATACCGTTCTCTCATGATAGGTTTGATTAAGAGGGATAGTACAAAATCTTCAGGTGCTAAAATACTGCAACTATTTGCCATACAACGAATACCTGAAATGTAACAAATTAGTACAACTAATTATTATTAAATTAAGAAACATTAATTTATGATTTATATAATTTATAATTTAAATAATATATAATTTGTGATATTATATATATATATATATATATATATATATATATGATTCTTCATATTGAATACATGTACTCTTAAAAGTAAATGTAAATCATATGTAGTTATAAGCATTACCAAAAACATAATTTTAATAATATAAAAATTGATAATTAATATTTTTAAAACTATTTCTTATTATACATCAATTGTATTAAAAAAATTTGTTTTATAAATAATTTAATAACAAAAGGAAATAAAAGGTTGCAGATAATTATGTAAAAAATAACGGTTAAAAAATGCTTTTATTCTACTACACATTCCATTTTTAAAAGCAATCTACTGTTTTTAAGAAGTAAAACAAGTGTATATTATATCAAATAAGAAAAAAATAAGAAAAACATTTTAGTAATAATTAGTATTAAAAATAAATGATTATTTAAGCTTACATAATAAAATTAATATTGTTTGAATATGGGATCTTATTACAAATATAAATATTCATTCTCATTTCATGTAGAATTACCGAGCATTCAGTTAATTTAATTAAAATTTTATTAATTGATTCCTTTTGTTTCAAGTTAAATTATCATTTCTTTAGTTTGTCGTTATTTTATTTTACGTAATTATTTATAGTAATCGAAATTATATTATTAATAAATAATACAATTAAAAAGAAAGATTAACGTGATAAGCAAACAACTGTATTAATTGTTGTAATTTATTCTATCCAAAATAGTTGGAAACCCAGCATTAGTAAGCATGTGAAAAAGAGTTTTATATAAACATGAAGATAAAAATATACTAGTTGTTACGGATTGAAGCTGTTGAAAGCGGAATACAAAAGTAGGAAAGGTATGAGCGCGCGAACATTTGTTTTGTAAACACTGGCCAACGAACTCGAAAAATGCTTCTATACCGAAACTCGAATATACGACTATATTTCTGAAAAGTAATAACAATGAACTCTACAAGGCTATGCCCTATTGACGTCACGACAAATGTCAGCATAGCAACAGCCACCGATGCGCTACCGGTGCCGCAAGTTCATATGAAAATATTTAAGGAGCTACACGTGCCGCGAATCCTTCTTGCTAATACTAATCACTCACCCCCCACATCGGGCTCGCTATCCAACCTGCAATCGCGATTATGAAGCCATAGCAAGCATCAAGCAACGTCCCCACTACTGGCTCCCACGCCTATGTACGCAACGCACCACGCACGTTCCTTACTACTACAACTACATCGGCTCCCATGCCTACGTAGACAACGCACCACGCACGTTCCTTACTACTACAACTGCATCAGCACCCACGCCTACGTAAGCAACACACCACGCACGTTCCTTACTACTACAACTACATCGGCTCTCACGTCTACTTAAGTAACGCACCACGCACGTTCCTTACTTCTACAACTACATCGGCTCCCACGCCTACGTAACCAACGCACCACGCACGTTCCTTACTACTACAACTGCATCGGCACCCACGCCTACGTAAGTAATGCACTACACACTTTCCTTACTACTACACTACATCGGCTCTCACAACACCTACTGAGGCAACACGAAGTCCTCCCCACCACACAGGCATGGCAGCGCTCAATCTACACCGGCGACAAGAGCAGTATCGTCCGATTCGCCTCTCCAGTGCGCGCCCACCACCACAGCGACTCATCTTGCAAGGAGAAGGGATCGCACCCCACTCTGCCGAGAAAGCACACACTCTCTTCATCATGTAACCAATATACGAAATCTCCTTATTTATTGACTTATACCTTCATTCATACACCTTACAATCATTGACTATTTATTATATTTATTATATTTAATAAAAGTAAAGACAATAAACATTAAATGCAGTATTAAATAATTGCATTGCCCCTTCCACCTGCCAGCAACACCTCCACCCACCATCATAAGGAGGTTTTAAGCCTGATCCCAGACACTAGTTCAAGTTTGAAATTAAAATTTACCAGATAAATGCAAAATTTCTTTGTAATATAGTATTTATATCTTTCTTTTTAAATTTCAATTTTTAAGTTTAAAATTAATTAAAATGAATTGATGTATTTTTTAATACAGTTTTATAATATTTAATTTATATATACATATATGTCCACATTGAATACATGGTTACATGTATTGTTATATGCAATGATAACAATGAGTTAAAATGACATAAATATGTAACTAAATTAATATATTTAGTAAGTTGAAATATAAAATATAAAAAAAAAAACTAGAAAGAATGTGTTAAAATATATATGACCCAAAGTGAACTTAAATTTTCCATAACAGTAAAATCATCAAAAAGAATGACTAAAATATTGAAAAGAAATCAAGTATTAGGACTTAGATTATATATATAATTAACAATAACAATAGAAGTGACCACAAGTAAACACAAGTACTTTGGGAATAGGAGGATAAACAATCAAAGATAGAAAACTATGATATATGATTACAAAGAATTAATAGATTCTGATAAAATTATCAACGAAAAAATTTTGAAGTTATATAAACGTATTATAATAAAAAAGTTGACCATTAATTTAATTAGTAAAATTAACTCTAGTTATTTTTGATCAATTTAAGCTATTTTTAAATATCAAAATGATACTGTACCAAATTAGAAGTATAACGTTTTATATTTAAATATTTATTTGTAGTACATCATGGAAATAATAGAATTATAGATATCAGTATAAAATTGAATTGCTACCTAAACTTTCAAACAATCAGTAGACTAGCTACATCTTTTTTACAAGGAACTTAACAAATACTTAAATTTTAAAATTTGGACTAATATAAAACAACTCAGAATTTATATTTGATTAAATCGATTTTCAATTAAAAACACATCTTTGTTCATTACTTTTTCAATCAATTACATATATCTTAAATAATTTTTATATAAATCTATAACAAAAAAAAATTAAAGAAATATAATATATTATATTGATTTATATACCTAACTATATATTTATATATTTTTAATTTATTTTTCAAAATATTCTAAATCTACGAAATTTAACTAATAAAGTTTATTAAATAAATATAATTAACAATTGATTATTAAGTTATATAAACATTTTAAATAAATAATTATGAATAATATTGGTATGATATATATATATATGTATATATATATATATATTAATAACTTTTTACATACTATATAATATATTGTAATAACATTGCCAATTGAACTTACTTAATGTTAATAAAATATTGTTTTATAAAAACAAAAATATTAAATTGAATAAATGAATATTATTCCTTGCTACTAAAAATATTATTCTTAAAGATTTAATTGTTTAAATCTTTTATATTTAATGAAAAAAGAAACATTTGATTCCAAATTTCAAATATTGAATTTAAAAAAAAAATTAAGTTAATACTCAAATTTTCATACATAATAATAAAACTAATCAAAACTACTTGACAAAAGAAAGATTAAAAATGTTAATATAATTATTGTGAATAAATACCAGTAGATACTCCTTGTAAAATTTGTGTTTCAAAATATGCACACCAACAATCATTACAGAATGAATGTCCACAATTTAAAGTACTAAACCTTTCAGTTGGAAAAGTTAAAAAACAAACTGAACATAAGTTTCCCTTTAGAAATTTCATATTAAAAAGTGGATCAACTGAGTGCGAAAGTATAATTTTTGAATCAATCATTATATTTGATGTATTATCTTGATATTTTAAAAGAATATCTTGTAAATCCCACTCATGAGCATGCAGAAAAAGCTTAGCCAATGAGGGTGTAATTTGTAAATTAGTAGTTAAAAATTCTACGTTTTCATTTAATAATCTCTCGACTTCATCAACTCTTAAACATTCATAAACTGCATATTCTGGATCTTGTTTTTGTTTATCAAAATTAATATCATTATCAATTTCTCCATCCCATGGCTGTGTACTATAATAATCTTCATATCCAGCATCTCCACAATCAGAACCAGAGCAATCCATATCACTTTCACATTCTGCTCCAGACATTATAAAACAAATTTTAAAGCATAATCTTGTTTAAAATACAATCTTAAACCATGTGATTGTAATGATTTAATTATAGATTAAATACACAAACAAACTTTATGAAATTTGCTAAGTCAATGTACAGGATATTAATATCATTTAAAATTATATCACAGGATTATTTAATATCATTTAAAAATGATAAAATATTTTAACGTAATTTTTAATCAATTATACATTTCATTACTTTACTTTAAAATAGATGAAAAATAATTATTTTTTACACCTACGTGCACGCGCAAATAACAATATATATATATATATATATAAAATTTATATTTAATAAATGATAATAATAATAATATATAAAATTTTTTACTAATAAAATTTCAACACCACCATGTATTTAAGAATTAGTTTCGACAAACTGAGGTATATATTCATAAAGAAATATGTGTTTAATTAATTATTATTTAACATAAAATAAATTGCGACTTATGAAATTAATACAATTCAATAGAACCATTTGTACTTAAATTTATATTTTAAAGAAAATCTTAAATTAAAATTGGGCGCATATATTATTAAAAAAAGTAAGTAATTTTATACATTACAAAATACTAACAATGTTTGTACCGCGCAAATTATATTTCTAATAAATTTTGAATATTATATCGATATTGACAAATTAATAATAAAAATGTCAAATAATTTATTATGATGCGAATAATAGCGCATGCGCTATCTCAGTAATACAAACAATGCATAATATCAATCAATTTATAGATGCGTGAACTTATCTATTTACGGTATTTACTGTAAATTTAACGAAGTAGTTAATTTAATTTATATAGAATGTTAATCAATAGTAAAATGTTTATAAAGAGATTTAGTTAGTAAAGTTACAAAGTTTGAAGTCTGTTAGGACAAAGGGCTAAAGTTTAACGCATTTCCTAAGTTGTTTACATCTTAATAAAAAATATTATTCATTTATAGATAAACTGTTTTTAACAAAGTTAGACAAGTTTGTCTAGAAATGAGAAATACATTTAAAATTTTCATTCTCAAACAAAAATCTGAAAATTTTATGCAATTAAATACCATCCTTTTTAATATATAAAAATATTTTTGTATCTTTATGTTGTGATTTTAAAAATTCTTTGTCTAGAATCTGAAAAAAAAACTGATATAATAATCATTAACATTATTATTTCAACAATTCTATGATGTAATAGATATTTAAAATTCCTAATAAAACAATTTTGGTACTTTCAGTTTTTATTCAATTTTTGTATTCTTTTTATTTAATATTTTTTATTTAATTATTTAAATAAAGTAATCTCTAGCTGAGAATAAATCATAATTCAATCGTTATTATTAAAATAAAAGTAATATATATAAATGCTTTTAATTTTTTAAATTTTCGAATATTTTATTTTAAGGATTAATTTTAAATCTTTATTTTAAGAAATGATATATTTTTATAACATATGCTAATAATTATTTACTACGATAAGACTATATTTCTAAAAATTTTTTAAATAAGTTAAATTATTGTAATGAAGATAAATGTATTTTTATAATAAGAGAAAGATGGGATTTTTATATAGTTAAACAACAGTATATTATTTTTTATTGCAATTATTATAAAAAGACTTAGTTTTTTGCTTTTCTTATTTTATTCTATATTTTCTTTGTATTTTATTTTATATCATATACTTATTATATTCATTGAGATTTATTGAGAGATTTATTGAAATGCATATATTGAGATTTACATAGTGTACAATTTTACTTAGAAAAAATTCATTTTCTGCAATTTTAATGATATGTTCTCGATAATAATATCAAAAATATTGTTTATTCAATTTGTTTACATTATACATTACATTACTTTTTACATATAATTTATTTAAAGCTTCTAGTTATTGTACATTATTTATTATTAAAAAAAACATCAACGTTAGCATTGTGATCAATTATTGAAAAAAAGATTCTATTTTAAAAATTTTCGATATTAAATTTTATTATTAAAATCATAATCAATTATTTTTATATTCTATTGCTATAGGACAACTTATAGTAGTATTCATATGTAAATAATTATGAAATATTCTTTCTTACTTTTAAGGAATATAAAAGAAAACAAATTTTAATAATTTTTTGAAACACATTTTTCAATGAATTTAGAATTAAATTTAATCACGTCAAGATTTCTAAGACTGTTTTAATAAACAGTTTTTTTCAATTATCACAACAATTACAACTTTCCAAAAAAATGTATTGTTTCTTACAGATTCTATTTTATATCTAATTTTTACTTCCTTTTCATTATTTTCATTATTTTATTTTGAATAAAATTATTCTTTTTTTATAAGTTATCAAATTTCTAATATTTTATTTATGACTTAATTCACTTAAATGTTGGATAAATGATAAATAAATAGCTTAAAATTTTTTTTCGATAATGATGTATCTCTTTTTTATTCGTATTTTATATTGAATAAATTCAGAAAACTCTATTTAAACATTATGTAAACAGCGTTCGCAGCATTTTATTGTTTCGTGAATTTTTCTAAATAGTAGTATATTCATTGAATTGAAATAGTATCTTCGTCTTTTTTGTCATATTCGAAGTTAAATTGAGGCATTGAAATAATTATATTCAAATAACGTGGAATTATTTACCATTTTTCCAGTTATATAGGTCGCAAAAATGTTCCTTCTACTATACTACATGATTATTCCTCAGTACTATATAATAAACCGTACTATAAACTGCAGTGTTTCTCTAGATAACTTCTTACAACATAATAAAATAATATGTGTTTCGCGAAACTGTGTCAGTATTGTGCAAACCATTACAGAATATAATAATATTACATCAACAATTAACACAGCACTGTCCTGTTTGACACGCGAGCATTATGCCATTACTATACTTATACCGAAGATTAAAATCAAGCTGCATAGAATGCCGTATTCTTTTTCGTAACTATTTTTTCTGCACGGCGTATAATGTAGCATAAACATAGTCTATATCATGAACAGTATCTAAAAATACATATTTATTATTAAATTTAATGATGTTTTTCAATGAATGCTAATTTATTTTATTGCATCGCCTACATCGAGTAATTTATCGTGTACATAACTTCTCAATGTTTTATTAAGAAAACTATACAAGTTTATAGTTATAGTATAGGTAAACTATACAAATAATTATTTGTTTGTAATATTTTCAATTTCTTATCTAACAAATTATCATCATAATGTCTAAAAATATAAATCTTTTAAATCACGTCTCTATCATCAATATCTACTCCCATACGCCGTTGAGTAAATTTTCCAATAATGATTACGGCGTCGTCATAAGTATTAGAAGTATGTATTATGCAGAAAATGAAAGAACACGAGTTCTATTTCCTAGACCTTTGAACAATTTTGATCAGACTTCTCTTAACTTTTGAACTAAAAAATTTTACTGGATTTTCTTTGAATTCTAAAATATGAATTTTGACTTACCGCTTTTTTATTTGTTTAACCGCAAATTAAACTGAAACTTTAATACTGGAAGTTTTCTGTTATCTTTCAACTGAAATCTTTACTAGTTGTTAGTACATATTATGTAGTCTAATATAAACTAAGTATATATTACAGTTAACTAATTAGAAATGTTTCTATAATATAGAAGATATAATTTTTATTATAATTATACAATTCTAAATAAAATAATGCAAATGAAAATATTGCACAGCTCAAAATTTATATACCCTATATTTTATAAACATTTCGTTTAAAATTAATACATTTAATGTATGCTCTCTTTTCTTGTTGAAATGATATATTAATCTGTAAGCTGAATTATTTATGTACGGTTACCGTTATCTAGGAAGATTTATGGTACAAAGAACAAAAGAAACTGATATTAAAAAAAAGAATTTATTGCTTAACTCTTAACTGGACAACATAATTCTATCAAAATGTATTAATTACATTGAAATTTCAAATTTTTTTTTTAAATTTCAATAATTATTAATCTCAAACTCATTGTTATTTTACAAAATTGCTCCTAAATTTAAATATAAAAAAATGTATATACATTATAAGAGCCAATCAGCTTAGTTTCACTGGACATGTAATTTTTTTAAATATCAGTCGGAAATGTTTTCGGTAGATTGGTAACATTGCGAGTTTGGTATATATATCATATCGATATTTTAATTAAGTAACTTATAAAAATACTTCAATAATTTAAATAAATAGTTGTGTATTGCATATAATAATCATGAGTTTTTTACATGCTGTTACAAATATAACAAAAAGAAACTTTTTTAAAAGTACTATTCCGAAGCATGATCAAAATCAGAATCTTGGAAAACAAGTAAATCATATTACGTAATAATTGCGTTTATTAGTAGTAGTGAAAAATATATTTATTTTCAAATAAATATAAATAATTTATGGTTTTGTTTCTTTTTGAATGAATGAAAATAAATAATTGTTTATTTATTATTAGTTATGACAAATAATAATATATGTTAGATAATTAAGATACATTTAGTAACTACATAATTTAATTAACTATATAAACTAATTTAATATTAATTATAATAAAAGTTATTAAAATATATATAAAAATATTTTTAATTTTTAAACTTGTTTTTGTTTTAATTGTAATAATTTAGTAATAAAAATTTATTACAATTTTTAATATATAATTATTGTAATAAAATAGAATATAAATCAGAAAAATGGAAAACACGTTAGTGCTTATTTTCCATTGCAATATGCAGTGTGAATCATTAGTGTTGTTATGTAATTTTTTATTAACCAGAATCAATAAAAAATGATTAATATTATAGATTTGAATTTTATGGATATTTGTTTCATGTATCAAGATTTTGTTAAGCATATGTATATATAATATATCTATAAAAATAAATAAAATTCTTATTGAAATTATTATTTTAATTATTATATATATATTAATTATAGTGAAATATAAATAATTATATCTATAATATTATGTAACATACAATATTAGATTAGATTTTGAAATATAATTAATC